TCTAACTTGAAATAGTTCATGGTTTGTAAAGTAGAGTTCATTGAGGCATTTTTCTTTTGAACCAAATTTTCCTATTGTATGGAAGCCTTAAGCCAAACTTTTTGTGATAAAACTAAGAGCCCTGCACTTATTCCAGATCCTAAATTTTCAGATTATGTGTTCAGATAAGGGGTAAGGAGGAAAGCTCTGTTGGAGAAAGGTGTTTCTGCAATGAACAAAAATATTAAGTGTTAAGTGTTGGAAATTTGGAGAAAAAGAAGAATGAAAAAGAAAAAAGAAGTAAAGGCACAAAGTGCTTGGTTTGGAAAAGGAAAAGAAAAAGGAAATGAGGAAAAAGGGAAATCAAAATAACACAAAGTGTTGAAAGTTGGAAGAAAAGGAGGAAGGAAATTCAAGAAAAAGAAAAGTTGTAGAAAAGTTGGTGAAAAGAGTAAATGAAAAGGAAGAAGAGAATGAGAAGGATTAAGGAGTACATAGATAAATTCAATAGTGATCCTCCTCTTATCTGAATCTGATTCATCTATCTAACCTTCTGCAACATCAAATCCTACCTTTAGCCAACTATGTGCCAAGCCATTTTTCCTTCTTCTATACAGAATCCTATTCCTAGTCAAGTCATACCACCAAAGCCTCTTTTGTTCTGCTTATGAATCACTGTCACTATGGAAAGTGAGAAGATGGGCAAGCTTATAGTAGTTCGAGTGCAGTGGAGATTGAGTGATGAGTACACCCTTAGACACTAGAGTGCAAGAGAGTTTATTCTCACAATTTTTGAGAAGTTCCAAGTGAGAGGGTGTTTTGTGTTGAAGGTCTCTGCATTTCATCTTACTGATCTGTTGAAAGTCATTGTGATGAGGTTAAGCAAGTCATAGTAAAAGATAGATTGTTGGGTTGTTAGATTGTATCTTGGAAAGTTGATCTGTCATATTTTAATCCAACCTCATAAATTTCATGTGTAAAGAATCTCAAGTCTTTCTCTGTCTTTAAAGTTATTGCTGAGTACAACAATATTCAAATCTGGGAATTGTGATGAACCCTTAGTTCATCATGGTTTTTAGCAGGAATTAGGATCAAATTGTGTGATTAAATGATGAAAAACAAGGTTAATGTCCTAAGATGTCCTCAATTACAAGTTCAAGAGCTTTATTGGAAATTTGTATGATTCTTGTAGGAAAAGCAAGCTTGAAAGACAACTGGAGAAGGAAGAAGATTCTGGAGCTCAAGAGGAGAAAAATTGCCTAAGTGTTGAGCGCTAAAACGTCCACACTGAGCGTTTTAGCGCCCTGCTACAGGAAGAGGCCAAAACTTGCTGGTGATGAGCGCTAAAACGCCCACACAGAGCGTTTTAGCACGCTGCTGCACTAAGAAGATGGAAAATTGCTGGTCTTGGGCGCTAAAACGTCCTGCAATAAGCGTTTTAGCGCCCTAAAGTGGAAAAAGATTCTGGTCTTCACCGCTAAAACGTCCAAATCAAGAGTTTTAGCGTTGGAGTCAGTTAAAGTTAGTTGAGCATTCACCAAGTTTGGACGCTAAAACGGTCATTCCTTAACGTTTTAGCGTTGGGATCAGTTAAAAGCAGTTGAGCATACGTAAAGCATGGACGCTAAAACGGTCACTTATGGACGTTTTAGCGCCCACATCAGTTTTCTGTGTTTAATTGTAACACTATATAAGGCAAAGCTTTGAGGGATCTGAACTCTCTCTCTCTCTCTTAAACTTAGTCTGTCTTCTCTCTAAATTCTCTTAGTTTTTGTATTAGGATTTCCTTGTAATAGTTTGGAGATTGAAGACTTTCAACATGGAAATGAAGTTTGTTTCTTCTTCTCTTATTTATTCCTTAGTCATGTCTGAGTAGAGTCTTTGTAGTCTGAATGCAATAGAACTCCATAATAATACTATGTTGATTTGATTAATATGATGAAGTATTTTCCATGTGTTGATTTGAGATTTTCTGATTTAATTATTTCTATCAAGGAAGTAATATAGAATAGGGATGTTTATATGACTTCTGTATTTGATAATCTCAACATCAGAATTCTAGTACTCAAGGGATTGATGCTAGAGTTCTGATGTAATCTTAAAACTTTAGTATTTCATGCATGTATTAAGAAAGAGATCACCAAGGGATTGGGGTTTCTGATTAATGTATCCATCAAGGTAGTAAGGGATTACATTTTGATGATAAGTAAAAGGTTGATTAACATCACATGGAAAGGAATTCATCATATGATCAGTTTTTTTACATAGGTTATTGTGGAGGAAAGTTGTTTTCTGACTACTTGTTTTATTAATTCCTAATCCACATTTACTTTGTGTCAAATTACTTACAATCAATTTTCTGGTGACAAATTATTCATGATTTTTACAAACTTTTATTTGATTCAAATTAGTTTTCTATGGTATATTGGTGTTTAAACACAATTCCTCGTGGGAACGATATTTACTCATCATTTTATTACTTGTACGATTAGTGCACTTGCTAAACGTCCAACATTAACGAAATATCTGCACCATGGAACAAATAGCAGTATATAGAATAAACTATAATCCGCATAATAAAAACATCAGAATGTATGAGACATATACCAACCTACATCCTCTAAATGACCCTAACATCAACCTATGGTCATAATAAAACAGCAAAAAGTACTAAAAAGATAAACTAAAATAATGAAAATAAAACAATCTCCAGCAGCAAGGAGATATAATCAATCCTCCATGTCATCTCCCTCAGCAGTATGGGATGACTCAGCAAATGGAGGAACTGGTGGTTTCCTGGGCCTCTGCAGAAACAAACCGGAAATCATCAAAAGATGCAGAAGTAGAAGTCTTATCCATTTTTGGTACCGCCAGTTTTTTTTCTTAGACTTTCTAGCTTATGAACCCTAAAAACCAGAAAAAATTTCCCAATGCACAGAATATGACAATAGGGCAATTAGATCACAAGAAATCAAGCCGGAAGTATATAGCAAACTACCATTCCCAGATTTGATTCCAACTTTATCTCAAAAATAAAATAGAACAAAGCAACAGTTGGAATCAAATTCAAAAAATAATATGTCAATGCATCTTAGCATACAACTCAGCATTTTAATCCAGATAGTCAACATAGGAAGAGGTTCAAAGGAAACAAATAACTAACTAGAAAATAAAATAATAATAAAAAATAAACTCTACATTGGGTTGCCTCCCAATGAGCGCTTGTTTAACGTCACGAGCCTGACGGTTACCTCTTTCAAGTATTGTTTTCTTTGAGAGAGAGAGTCTCCGTGTGTCTCTCATAGGTCCTCCTTTTGGCGGCATTCAAACTCCGGTAATCCACACACATCCTCCAACCAGTTATAATTCTGGTCAGAATTAGTTCATTTTTTTCTTTGTGGACTACAGTTAGGGGTGTAAATGGGCCAGGCTGGCCTGGCCCGGCCTACGATGAGCCTGGACATGGCTTGGCCTTTATACATAATAGAGTAGGCTTAGGCTATTAAGAGAGCCTTTTTATTAAATAGGCCATAGGCCAATTAAGTCAAGCCTGGCCTAAAGCCTTGTAGGCTGGCCTACTTAATTTATTAAAATAAAATAATTTTTTTATTCTAGGTGGCTAACTGGCTAAGCACTTTCAAGTCCAACCCTAATTTCATTTCGTGCAGCGCCGCTTCTCATCTTCTTCTCACGTCTTCAGTGTCTTCTTCTCGTTCTCAGTTCTGACGCTCGTTTCTCAGTTTCCTCCTTCTCTTCGACGTGCTTGTAAGTTGTCGCCGGCCATTTCCAACAAAATCTGGCTAGGTACGCTCTCTCTCTCCCCTCTCTTTCTCCTAATCTTTTTCTTTCTCTCCCAAAAGCCCACTTTCGTTATCTTCTTTATGGTACACAGAACTTGAAGAACCATCCTTTTTCTGTGTGCGTGCGAAATCGAAGGAGCAACAAGGTTGAGTGTACTCCTTCTCTCTATTTTCTTCAACGGATTTTACAGATTGTGGGTAAGAACTTTTCTTCCCTCTTCTATTTTTTTGGATTTTATGGTATAAAGATAAAAATTAAATGGGGAGTGCTGCATGTAGGGGAGAGATAGAGAGTGGTGTCTGTCATCGGTTATTGTTTGGTGTACTTTACTAAAATCAATTTCAAAATTGTTTGGTGTGTGAAGAAACATCAGCTGTTTGGAATGAGTTTCTGCAATTTGCTCTGTGACTCTCTACACTCTGTACTCTGACATTCATCATAGAGCATGAAAATGCAGTAATCAGGAATCAAAAACCAGCATATATCCATTTTTTAAAATTAAATTGAAAATGTATTGTGATTTTTACTAACTAAAACTTAAGAGTAGAAATACTCTTATTTACTTACTTTATAGACAAATTAATTTAGAGTACGTTGATATTAGGATTTAAGATTTTAACTTGGTCTGTATGTTACAAATCCAAGTTAACAAATATTTAAATATGGCATCTCCATTTTTTTGGCGTAACTCATCTAAAGTTTTCTCGCCTTTATGTTCCTATCTTAATTCAATTTTCATTATGGCTATTTTTGCTGCATGTGGAAGGCACTGACTAGAGAGTAACCGCAAGCTTGGTTGACCATTCAATTGTTGTTTATCTGTTTTGTACATAGTTGATGTCATATTTTTATTGTCGTTTTTTTTACAACTAAATGATCACTGATTCAATGCAAGTCTGCAACCTTCACTGAATCATTAATGTTTACATAGTCTAATCTCCTCTAGATTGGTTAGAAGAGGCCCCAGATTTGCTTCAGGATTTTTTTTAGCAGATCTTGTTTTTGTTCACTGAAATTTGTTTAGTTAAACCTTCACATCTAAAGGTTTTCCTGGCTATATATATAGTTTTATAATTTGGGTTTTTTCTTTTTGGATAACTGTAATTTGGGTTTCTATTTGGTGCTGCCAATAAATTATATCTGTCTCATTATATATGTCTCATCTCTCACTAGGTTTGTGATTGCTCTGTTTTTTGTACCTTTTTTTATAGGCATAGAAAATGGACTCTACTCCAAGTGCAAGTGGTAATGCTATTGTTAGCGTACCAAGTGACCCCAATCAACCTCAAGTAAGGAATGAACAACGAGAAGAAGTAACCGATAGTGCTATAGCTGCTACTGATTTTGCAGTTGCAGCAGATTCTGCAGTTGGTCAACGAAATGAGTTTCATGAAGTTACTCTCCCCAATGGTCAACGAAAAGCAGTTTGCAATTATTGCAAAGCTAAATTTGCTACGGGTGGGTGTGGAGCTAGCACTAGCCACTTGAGGAGGCATTCAGAAAGTTGCTTGAGAAGGAAAATAGACCAATCACGACTAAAGCAGTCAACAATATCATTTCAACCTACAAGTTCTGCCTTGAACCCTTTCCTTACGCCAGGAGGTAAGTATTCTAATCTAAAGATGAGAGAAATTATTGCTACTGCTATCATGGTACATGAGTATCCTTTTAGCATTGTAGAGGACACTGTTTGGATGTGGGCTTTTAAGTTTGCAAATTTTGATTTTGAGAAAGTTTCACGTCAAACAATAAAAAGTGATTGCATGGCAATATATCAGGCAGAAAAGAAGTGTCTTAAGGCTGAATTAATGAATGTGAATAAGATTAGTATAACCACTGATATGTGGAGATCTAATCACCAAGTTGCTGAGTATATGGTCATCACTGGCCATTATATTGATTCAGAATGGAAATTACAAAAAAGAGTGCTGAGTTTTGTCAAAGTGACACCTCCAAGACGTGGGGTTCATGTTGCTGATGCAATATTCAAATGTCTGGAATCATGGGGGATTGAAAATAAGGTGTTTTCCGTGTCTGTTGATAATGCTGCGTATAATGATGTTTGCATAAGAAATATCAAGAGCACATTGTCAAGAAGCAACAATTTAGTCCTTAATGGAAACATATTTCATGTTAGATGTTGCGCTCATATTCTGAATTTATTAGTGCAACATGGCCTTAGTAATATCAAAGATATAATCGAGAATGTTCGTGAAAGTGTTAAATTTGTCAATCAATCTGACTTGAGGTTGAAGACTTTTTGTGATATTGTTAAGCAGATGGGGGTAAAAGAAAGAAAGTTAGTTATTGATTGTCCTACTAGATGGAACTCAACTTGTGAAATGCTATCTACTTCTTTAATATTCAAAGATGTATTTTTGGAATACAAGGAAAGGGAACCATATTATAATTACTTGCCATCAGCAGAGGAATGGAGCAAAGTTGATAAGGTCTGTAATCTTTTGGAGGTTTGTAGTCATGTTACTAATGTCATATCAGGTAGTGACTATCCCACAGCCAATTTATATCTCCCTGAAGTTTATAGGGTTAAAGAAGTAATTGATGCTGCAATTGAAGATAATGATGATTTTATGAGATCAATGGCAGGGCCAATGAAAGTAAAATTTGACAAGTATAGGGGGAGTGCAACCTGCTGATGGCGATTGCTAGTCTTCTTGACCCAAGGTGCAAACTGCATGTGGTAAATATTTGCTTCCCAATTATATACAAATCAGAAGTTGAGGCAAAAGAAAATGTTGAAAAAGTGAAGCAAGCTTTAGAAGATTTGTATAATGAGTATTGTGCTTTAGGTTTGCAAGAGCCAGTCTCTAACAGTGAGCTAGAAACTAGTGTGAACCAATCATCCTTGTCTTCCACTCTCCCACCTCAAGGTCCTAAATCTGGATTTTCTAAAATCATGAGCATTGTGCGTGAAAAGGAAATTGTTCCCCCAGTAAAATCAGAGTTAAAAAGTTATCTTGAAGAAGGGGTTTATATTTGTGATGAAAAATTTCACATTTCCTTTAATGCCTTGGAATGGTGGAAGACCAACAGCTTGAAATACAGAATTTTATCAAAGATGGCAAGAGATATATTAGCTGTTCCAATTTCTACAGTAGCATCTGAGTCCACATTTAGTGCTGGTGGAAGAGTAATTGATGCCTATCGTGCTAGTTTAGGCGAAGAGACTATTCAAGCATTAGTTTGTGGCGGAGATTGGCTACGAAACAAGTATGATTTGAAGAAAAAAATAAAAGGTATAAATAGAATTCTTGTTATTAAGTACTTAATTATTATTTTTTCTCATATATTGCTTGGGCTTGTTTGAATTTATAGTTGGTTCCCTTCTTATTTTTGTATGGCTAGGTTGATGGACCTGTGTTGCCTCTGTTTCATTGCTTTAAAGGGTTTACAGGTAGATGTAAATTTCTACACTTTTTTTCATGTAATTTTTGTCATGTAATGTTACATGCTGATTGCTGATGCAGCTTAATATTGTGCAGTAATGGGTACCTTGTTGTTGCTGGTTTATGAAGTTATTGATGAAGCATCTTTCAATAATACTTTCTTTTCCCTTGTCTTGATTGAGTTATTAATGGTAGAATTGTAATTTCCCTTATATTTTCCTTTGTCATGTATGTGATAACAGGGAAGCACAATAGTGAGAAATGGCTGATGTGACAAATTGTAGATCGTTGGATGAAGCATGAATCTGATGGACAGCAAGCAAGCTTTTGAACTTTTAGTTTTTCAGTTTTTAGATTTTCCAAGTTTTTAGAAGGCACATGCACAGACGTGTTTCTTGGAGGAATCCAAGATTTAGCCGAATTGAACCTTGAAGTTCTTAAATTCTTAATCTTGCTGAACAATTTCACTTTGAGAATATGATCGGTATCTCTTAACCTTTTTACATTTAAACTTGGGTATGCAATGACAATATTTCAGGAGTTGTTTAATATTTAATTTGTATTTGTAAGTGATCCACTGGATATGTGTTGTAAAATATATCTATTTTTGTTGATGGATTCAAGATTTATGTATATTTATTTTATGAGCTTGGTGGTCCACAAAATTTGATATATTTATGGTTTACGATTCTCAATTATTACTTTACAATCTATGTCCAGAAAAATAACTCAATCACTCCTTGGTAGGCCTACAAGGCCTATAGGCCATAGTAGGCCTTTTATTTTTTAAAAATAGAGCATACTTGGCCTATAAATGAAGCCTTTGATAGGCTAGATAGGCTTAACTTTTTTTTACATAGGCTTAGGCCAGGAAAGTCAAAGCCCGGCCCAGCCCAGCCCATTTACACCCCTAACTACAGTGACGCCTCCCTTCTTCGGAACAGTCTTCACTGGACTTACCCAACCAGTATCTGAAATCGGGTAAATTATACCAGCATCAAGAAGTTTCACAACTTCCTTTCTCACCACCTCCTTCATTATAGGATTAAGCCTCCTTTGAGGTTGCCTCACAGGTTTGACATCATCCTCCATGAGAATTTTGTGGGTACCAAAAGAAGAATCTATACCCTTCAAATCAGAAATGAACCACGCTAAGGCGGTCTTGTGTTCCTTTAGAACTTTTATCAACCTCCTTTCCTGCTCAGAAGACAACCCCTTATTAATATTAACAGGGTAAGTCTCCTCATCACCCAAGAAGATGTATTTAAGAGTTTTAGGCAGCTCCTTTAACTCTACTTTTAGGGAACCATCTTCTTTGTCAGAATCTTTCTTCGCAAGAACTTCAAACACAACACTCTTTTCTTCCTCAAAAGGAACAACATCACGCACCTCAAGTTCTTCATCAAGCTCCTGACTAGAAGATTTCTCTTCTTTCACCACTTCTTCTAAAACATCAAGTCTGAAACAATCACCTTTGTCAGAAGATTGTCTAATAGAATCAAAGACACTGATGCTGACGGTCTCATCATTCATCCTTAACTCGAGCTTCCCTTGTTCAACATCAATCATAGCCCAAGCAGTAGCCAAGAAAGGTCTTCCCAACAAAAGAGGCCTTTCAGTTCCCTCTTCCATGTCCAACACCACAAAATCTGCTGGAAAAATGAATTTGTCCACTTTCACAAGGACATCTTCAATAATACCACTAGGTTTCCTCAAAGATCTGTCCGCAATTTGCAAAGAAACCTTAGTAGGCTTAAGCTCAGTGATCCCCAAAGATTTACACACAGACAAGGGCATCAAATTTATACTCGCCCCAAGATCACACAAAGCTTTGCCAACATTAGTGTTACCAATAACAATTGGAATATTGAAGCTCCCTAGATCATGACACTTAGGAGGAAACTTATTTTGTATTATTGCACTACACTCTTCAGTGAGTGTCACAGTCTGGCATTCTTGCAGCTTATGTTTCCTTGATAACAGTTCCTTCATAAACTTGGCATAATTGGGCATATTGGCGAGAGCTTCAGCAAAGGGTATATTAACGTGCAACTTTTTGAAGATATCAAGAAATCTGGCATGTTGCTGCTTCTGAGCATCTTTCTTGAATCTTTCAGGATAAGGTGCCATGGCTCTCGCATATCTAGGACTCATCTCAAATTTTTTCTTTTCAGCAACAATCAGTTGCTCTTCTTCTTCACCTTTCTGAAGAGGCTTCACAACCTTAGAAGGAATTACCACTTCTTTTTCTAGCTCCTTAACCTCATTAAGCTTCTCATCAGCTCCCACATTTATGTTTGGCTTTTCTCGGGCTACAACCACATTACCACTTCTAGTTGTAATGGCCATTAAATATTCCTTTGGATTAGTAATTGTATTACTAGAGAAGGTACCTGGAGTTCTATCAGCAATTTGTTTAGCTAGTTGGCCAATTTGATTCTCCAAATCTCTGATAGATGCATTTGTGTTCTTTCTATTGGCTCTAGTCTCCTCCATGAAAGCATTAGCATGTTGAGCCATTTGTCCTACTAGCTTCTCCAAATCAGAAGGTTCCCTGGGTTGGATTGGTAGAGCCTGCAAATAATTGTTAGATTTGAAGTCAAGACCAGTTCCCTGAACCCTCCTTTGAAAATTACTATTTCCAGCAGAAAAATTCTGATTTCTTGGAACATTTTTCGGTAGAGATCTTTGATCATACCAAATTCCATTCACCTACATTTGTTGAGGAGGATCAGAAGATATCAGAGAAGGACATTCATTAGACTCATGATTGTCCTGGCAATATTCACACACAACAACAACAGCTTTAGCCTAAACACCTGAAATCTGCATCTTATCAAGCCTTGAATTCAAATTTGCCATTTGCTGAGATAATAACTTATTTTCAGCCAGCACAACATCATTTCCTTCCAACTGAAGAATACCTCTCTTAGGTTTAGATGTCAAACCTTTATTTTCATTGGCGACCATTCTCTCAATCAGCTCAAGAGTCTCATTTTCTCTCAAGGACTTAATAGTACCACCTGTTGCACCATTCAGCACCATCCGAATGTCAGGTGTACAACCGTTGAAAAATATTCTCACTTGATTTCCTGCAGTCAATTTATAACGAGGACACCTCCTCATTAAATCCTTGAATCTGTTCCAAGCTGCACACATAGTCTCACCATCTAATTGAGTGAAATTGGTAATATCATTCACCATCTGATTATACCTCTCCATAGAAAAGAGCTCAGCAAAGAACTTTTGGGTCAAATCATCCCATGTAGGCTACGTGCAGGCTGCCTTTCCAACCAACTAAGAGCCTTTCCCTTAACAGCAAAAGAGAACAACCTCAACCGGATTGTATCATTGGACACCTGAGGATGTTTTGTTGAGTCACATATCATAAGGAATCTGTTTATGAATATGTGAGAATCTTCATTCTCTTCTCCTCCAAACTGGGCTCTCTCCACCAATTGAATAACGGAAGACTTCAGCTCCCAATTATTGTTACCAATTACCAGCTGGACAATGCTTGAGTTAGGCCTATTAAAAGCTGGAGTAAGAATAGTATCCATGAGTGGATTTTCTTCATCATTATTTACTGCCATGATTGGTGATTCAACTGGTATCTCATGTGTCTCTTCAGACAGAGTATCAATTGCTTTGAACTGAAGCTTTTTCCGAGCAAGTTTTCTATTTCTCCTTTCAGTCTTTGCAATCTCAGAATCAATCAGAAATTCTTCAGTTTTACCTCGCATACAACTCAGGAAAGAGATTAGTAGCATTTTTCAAATAACACAAAAAAATAAAAACAAAAATATTCACAAATTCCAATCTTAAAGATTAAGATTATATGATATAAGAAACGTCAATCCCCGGCAACAGCGCCAAAAATTGCTCACCGGCAAGTGTACCAATCGCACAAGTAATATAATGATAAGAAAAGTATCGTCTCCACATGGATTGTGATCGAATATCAAATAATCGTTCCTTTTAAGACGGAAAGAATTCAAATAGATGTTAAAAATATTGTGGATTTGAATAACAATAAGAACTAAGATAAAAACGTATTTTTGGATTTTTGTTATGAAAAATAAAACAGAGATTGATTTTATAAAATATAAGAAGGCATTGTAGCTAGAGTGCACTCACCATACGATCCTACCTTTTACTCTGGATTGATTTAAAATACTCATTTAAATAAATACTCAGATAATTTATCATCTAAAAATATTAAATAGCTAACCCTCAATTCCTTGCAAGGT